GATATTCAATAGGAAGCCAGTGCAGGTTGATGAGAATAGGAGTAATGTGATCGCGTTTCTTGGTTAGAGTTACAAGGCGGGCAGATGCATTTTGTACAGATTGAAGACGGTTAATGAGGTATTTCGGAAGGCCAAATAAAATAGAGTTATAATTGTCAAGTTTTGAAGTTATGAAAGAATTTCAGTGGACTTTACGAAAATAGAACATTAGTGATTTAGAAAATAGAACATTAGTGATTTAGTGTGACAGGAATTATATTAAAAAACAAAAGAAGATCACTGACGGTGAACTTTTTCTTTTGTCTTTTAATGTATTCCTTTCTCACTAAATTACTAATGTTCTAATATCGTATGACAATGTTCTTGCGAGTAGGTGTATATATAAGTATGTTGAATACTTTTTATTATTTTTTAAGGAATTTGTATTGGGTAGCTAATTATTAATTAGAGGTTTCATGGCAGCCATGTTGTAGGACAAAACAATAGAACATTTATCCTTTGGGGATAATCTGTCATTATGCAAAACCATAATGTTTGTCTTCTACACAGCTGCTATTTAGTGTCGTCACACGTGCATGCAACACTCACTCCCCTAATTAGCTACTGAATGTTGAGTAACAACACTAATAGCAGCTGTATACAGAAGACTCTAGTGATCTATCGATCGATTGTATCTTTAAAATAAAAATAACTAAGCTGTGAACCCCCAAGATATATAGAAGCAACCCACCCAGTACCCTTGTTACTCAGCTAATTTACCCTGCTAGAAGATTAATAGATGGAGTAGAGAGTAACCCATCCATATAACACTACTTCTTACTTTCCTACCCACCTACCTATGTATCACTACTTACTCCTTACCAAGCTATCTATTTAGCTATAGGTCTGCATACCTATGTCCCTATCTACCAAGATGTACATACCCACAGCTATCTACCGACCTACCTACCTACCATCCTATATACCTTAACCTATCTACCTATCCACTCACCCACCTACATACCCACTGCTACTTAATATACAGTACTTACTTACCTACCTACCTATCTACCTACCTACCTACCTACCTACCTACCTAGCCATCCACCCACCCACCTAGCCATCCACCCACCCACCTAGCCATCCAACCCACCCACCTAGCCATCCACCCACCCACCTAGCCATCCAACTTACCCACCTAGTCATCCACCTAGCCACCCACCCACCTAGCCTCCCAACCACCCACCTGGCTACCAAAGTCATTTTATACAAAGCAATCTGATTTTATTACCTTTCAAATTACATACATCTTAATCTAACTACGTACTCCCCTATCTATCTACTAGTTACCTAATTACCTACATTTACCATATGCATACCAAAAATTATTCACACTGTCAGATGCCTCTAATAACAGTCATTTTATTTTGCTCTCATTAGCTTTAGATTTTAAGATAAAAAAGAAAATGTCATCAGCTGGAACCCCCAAAAATGAAGAAATATCTCAAAGCAGTTCAGCTGAATCATCTCCAAGATCTACAGAGGAGGAAACTAAGACCAACAAATCAGAGGCATTTAATCCTAAAGACATAAAACTAAACCAAGGACAAAGAGAACTAGGAGAACTGTCTATAGAAACCCTTAAAAGAGGTACAGTTTTTTTTGAGAGTCTCTCTTCTCTTTCTCTCCCTTCTTTCAGGCAAAGAGGAAGGAGACTCTGCCGATGTAGAGCGTTTCCTTTGATACACCGGCGTCCACAATCGTGGACTAACAAAACCAGTTTTAAAACCGTTTTTTAACTGATTACATGTAGTGCGCATGCGCAAATGTAACACACCGTGGCACCAAACATTGTTTTGATGAGAGTGGCTGTCAAAACCATGACAGCATTGCTAAGTTATGCCAAGCATGTACTACAGAAATAACATCCTACATCGGCAGAGTCTATTTTTCTCACTCAACTAAAAACAAAAGGAAAATAGACTCTGCTAGCAGGGAATCTATGGGGAGTCGCAACTCAATTCAAAGTCCAATTTTATCAGTCTGAAATTAAATTGGGATTTAATTTGCACTTAATAATATCCTCATATTTATATTGTGGGGGAGAAAATTGCCGACTAACAGATCCTCTAGATATACAAATAGCTATCCAATGCTATGTGTGCTTCATGTTTTGCTTCCATGGGGAATTGATTGTAATGCTCTGAAAGGAAGATGAAAGACTTGTGGACTAGCTTCACTAATGCCTCTTAATGAGAAAGTAAAATTAAAGTTCAATACAATGCTTTAGAATCGGAAGCGACAAATAATGATGGAGACAAAGAGGATACTGAGGATAGAGTAACCAAAGCAGATGAAACATCCCAATGGATGGGGAGGATTGGATTCTTCTCTGGCAATCCAACGGTGGAGACTGTCAAAGGAATTCTCCATATCTACAAAAGCAAGTGAGTAATGTTACACTTCATTAAAATTCATTTTAAGGATTTATTTGTTTTTCTGTGTACGTCACATATAATACCTTTGAGAAATATTTTCCTTCCAAAATTTGCTGTTCTGAGCTATCATGCTTGTTGGCTTGTCCTTGGAACCTTTATTCATGTTTGCGATTTGTTCATTTTCAGTGAGATGACATCACTCACCAAAGGAATTTCCAGAAGTCAGACCATCTGTATGCTTGCAGTCCCAGCAAAGCTCGCATGTATTGACCTTTTACAGTTCGTGGCTCCCTCAGAGTATGTGTTTTTAGTTGTTTTCCTCATAAAAATATTAATAAAGTATTCATAAATTAGAACAGGTTGTTGGGCACAAAAAAAATTAAACCTCATCCAATAACAGTGCAGTGTTCCTGCTCTAGAACATGGCTGCTGTAAAGCCCTTCTATAACTCTGCCACTAATATAAATGTGGCCCTTAAATAGGAATTTTAAGTGTGTAATTTTTACAAGGTAGAAAAAATGCCAAACTTGGCAAGTAAACCCTTAAGTATGTCTGAGATAATAGCAAATGCTTAATTTTATTTACATAATTTGCAACTATGATTTGGTAATTTTTGTAGAGAGTTCATACAACATATTAAGATCATCAGAGATGCCACACCAAACCAGTACATGGCTTTAATCAAGTTTAAAAACCAGGTACAAATAATCAAAATAAATTTTATTTTCCATAACAGTGTTTTACGTGGGGTTGGCAGAACAGGAGAGAAGTGTTAGGAGAAGCATGACACGTAGCAGAGTGCTTCTCGACACTTCTCAAGTATTCTACCAATCCCCAAGTGCTTCATAAATCCACACAGCACAGCAAACAAGGTTTTCATTTCTTTTATAAAATACAAATTTTGATAACCGTCATTTTGGATAGGAATGACGCAACTGAAAGTGCATGTGCATGCTGTGTGCTTTTATAAAGCATGTGCTCCCAACCAATCAGAATGTGACATTTATAAATTAAAGTTACTTTATGATCATTTTTTAAATAGGAATTAGCAGATGAATTTTACAACACTTACAATGGCCACCAATACAATTCACTTGAAGAAGAGGTGAGAAAACGCTTTGCCAATTGATTGTTTTCAACCATTCCCAAGAGAATTAATTAACAAAAGACATGGCGGCCATGTTGGAGGATATAACAAAAGAATTCATTGATAATTCGTTTGTTAAATTCCTCCAACATGGCCGACGTGAAATCCATCAATAAGTGCTTTTTTCATATCATATTCTCAACTATGACACATTCCTCTTTAAATACACAGGTCTGCCATCTTGTCTATGTAGCAAAAGTAGAAGTCTTGAAGTCTTCACAGGTATACTTAACATATTTTATATTGTTTCAAGAAGAATTCCCTGATATGTCCTGTTTCTTTCTTACTAGGGAGCAAGTTTACCATGCTCTGGTCTTACAGAATTGCCAAAGTGTCCAGTTTGCTTGGAACGAATGGTATGTTAGGTATTTCTACTCAGTTATTGCTAGTGAATTTCGTCTCGCGCAGAATGTTTATCACATGAATTGCAAGTTTCATTAGAATTCTTTCTGGCTGACAGCACATGGTGGTCAGTGTTTGACCACCATTTGGGACAGATAATGAGATTGAAAGACTTTTACCAGCTGAGTGAAAGCCAGCAATTGAAAGGTGATTTGAAATTTGTGCAGTCCGTTATTTATGTGGAAGCTGTTCAGAAACAGTAGCAAAAACAACATCAATAATGACAACAGTGCCAACAGCACCAATCACCGCGTCAAATACAATTTCAAGATCAGAAACATCTAAATGAATAAGAAGAATAGCAATAATAGAAGAAGCTGCAGCAGTTACAGCAAGATACATTTTAACAGCAACTTCCAAACAAAATCAACAAATCTCACTTCTACGTAGATGAGGCAATGCGCCATGTGGGATGGGCTCGGATATCAAATAAGAACATACGTAATAGGTAAATTACGAGCCTTAGATGAAACGACTGAAGGAGAGTGCCATACAAGCCTTTCACAACTTCAAGTCGCGTACAAAATGAGTATAGGCCGAAACGACTGTCCACAGTTTCTAGTTGAGCTGGCTCATTTTTTACGCGACTTGAAGTTGTGAAAGGCTTGTATGGCACTCTTCTTCAGTCGTTTCATCTAAGGCTCGTAATTTACCTATTACGTATGTTCTCACTTCTACATGTTGTTTGTACAGGATGAATCAGTTGAAGGAGTTCTTACAATCCTCTGTAACCACTCATTTCATGGGAGCTGTTTATCCAAGTGGTCAGACACAAGGTACACCGTTTGTAATAACCAGACTTGTATCAAACTTTGACTTTGAACTAAAATCATCCCATTCGTTCTTTTTCTACCTCAACAGCTGTCCAGTGTGCAGATATGTCCAAACCCCTGAACCAACCAGCGAGAACAGGTGCTTAACATGTGATTCAACAGAGGTAGGAACATTACTACTATTACTACTATTGAAGGAATAAAAAACGCGTGCGCGTGCTGTGTACAGTTGTAAAGCACGCGGGGGTTGTTGCAGAACACGAGAGGAGTGTTAGAAGAAGCACGACGCATAGTGGAGTGCTTCTCGACACTTCTCGAATATTCTGCAAATCCCCAAGTGATTAGATTTGATTAGATTTAGATTTCTTCCATAACTCGCTCAATTGTTATCTTTAGAACTTGTGGATTTGCTTGATATGTGGTCATGTGGGATGTGGACGTTATGCTGGTTGCCATGCGTACAGGTATTAAAACAACCCTATTAATGTTGTCCTCTTACAAACTGGTTTTCTTTTGAGTGGTAAGCTGACTTACCCCAGACACGCTAGATATTGGTGTTCCTTTTTTTTGTGTTTGCTTATTTTTGCTCTCCACATTTTGTTTTGTTTCAGGCATTATGAGAAAACCCAACATACGTACTCGTTAGAGCTGGGAACGCAGCGTGTTTGGGATTATACCGGAGGTACTTATTAGCAAAACTCTCAGTCCCACTTAGGGAGCGTTAATGATTTCAAGCATGGGTGGGAAATAGAAATTGGTGAACAAAAACAACATCTCGTACCCTTTATTTGCCTGTTTGTTGTTGTGTTGTGTTCTTTTGTTTGTTTTTTTTTGTTTTTTTGTTGTTGTGGTTGGGTTTTTTTTGTCGTTTTTATGTGGTTTTGAGGTGATTTTCAGAGTTTGCACACAAAAGTTCCTGGAAAACCACTAGAATTTTCTCTTTACTTTGGTAATATCATATTTCCATGTCATTTGGTTCGTTGTTTCCAGACAATTACGTTCATCGGTTAATCCAAAACAAGACAGACGGTAAGCTTGTGGAGTATGGGCCCGCGCAAGGTCAGGTAGGTACCTCAATGAGCTAGAGAAAGAAAGAACAATACGGAGGTGTACCCTTGAGTGTTGATAGTGTATGCGATTTTTACTGAATATCAAGTTCAAACTCTTTACTCCTGTCGCAGGACCACAAAACGTATCCCTTTACCTTTTGCCTATTTATTTTGTACAATATGTTCATCTGTTGGCCATTCACGTCACATGGCCATTTTCTCTAAATTCTTATCTGCCTAAAGTGCTGCCGAGACTAGAAACGAAATACAGCAGATAACTGACTGCATATGACGCTTATGCTATATTTATATAACTACGAAATGCATAGAGTAACACTAAAGGGAGTCGCTTAGCTTTAATGGCTGCTCATAATCGCGCAGTATTTCATTTTACTGCGGGTTATTGTTTCTTTATTAGCTGGGCGATGAAGAAAAGTTGGATTCACTTACGCTTGAGGTATAATCATTTATTTTGCTTACAATGTTTAATCCATTAAGTTATAAATAGTTAGTTTAACTAAATTTTTAGGGATACTTTTTTGTTATTTTTGCCTTGTCTTGGTTGCAGGTGGCCGCTTGTTTGTTATACGTATTTTTGGAATTAAGCGCGTGAAACACTGCACAACCGTTTCTATAGCCTTCACTTTCTATAGTTAGTAGGCTAGGTTCTGTATGTCTGTGTCTTTTGTCAGTCGAATATAGTTTGACAAGCTGCAATATAAAGCATCCAGACCCTTGGTTGCAGTTTTTGCGAGGCTCGTGCATGTGATTGGCTATGAAATGAGTGCAATATTAATTATTAATATAACTCAGGACCTTCAGCCAGATAATCTATTGCTGTTGTGAATGTCTGTAGAACAACGTGCGATACGTCACTTTAGGCATAAATATTTATATCATACACATAAATTATAGTTTATTGTAAAGCGCCTCAGTCGAGTTTATTAGGATGCGCTATGTAAGAACTTATATTATTATTATTATTATTATTATTATTATTGTTATTATAATTATTATTATGATGATGATGATGATTATTATTATTATTATTATTATTATCATGTCATCTATTGCACCTCTGCGGTGTAAATGCAAACATGCATGTGCTAGTATTTGATGACTGACTATGGTTTTGACTTTATCAGTACACGTACCTTCTGACCAATCAACTCGAGAACCAGAGAATGTACTTCCAAGAGAAGATCACCCGTGTGGAGACCGAGGCAGCGGAACAGGTAAAAAAACCACTGGCGGTAGTATTTAATATCTGTAGATATATTTAATATGTATAAGGTGACAAGGATTGTGGAGTGCCGCAGTGATCGGTGTTTGATCCTCTTTTCTTACATTTTCATATATTGCCGCGTTGCCTTCATCATTTATCTTTTCCTTTTTATCAAAATCAAAAAATGTGGGGTACTACAGAGATCGGTTCTTGTTCCTAACATCTCGTGACATGTTTTTAAWGTCATTGATTCATTTGCAGCAACAAAATACCTTTTTGATTAACTAAATATAAAAGGGTCTTTCTTTATAACTTCTAAAAGTTGAAGATAATGGGGGTACCACAGGATCTATATTAGGTCCTATTCACTTTAATCTCCCAATACAGAAGATATATATAAATACTGTACTTCGATAATAATTCAAAGGTTAAAGAAATGGAAGAACGTTCCAAGAAAACTCTGGAAGAAGTTCAGCGACTTGAAAAAAAACTTGCCGACTCGGAAAAAGAAAAGAAAAACCTTGAGAAGAAATACACCCAGGTATGAATTGATACAAGGGACGATTTGTAAGATGTCCTTAAATTTGAATATTGATGCTTAATACTTCTTTTTAGGTTGTTTCTAAGGTGGGGAAGCTTGTGAGTGAATTGAAAGAAGAAAAAGAGGTATGTGAGTTGAATGCTGTAAAATATGGTACGCTTGTTCTGATGCGTGTGCAATCAACAATGACCAATATTCACCTTTTCGGCGCTAGCTGTAATGTGTCAAGAAGTTCGGACATTGTTCTCGGATTCTCTTACAAATTCATTGACTCTAAAAAAAAAAAATTCACATCGATTTCTTTAGTTAGCTTTCAAGAAAAGCTTTAATCAAGTTAGAAAAATGATATTTTGCTCGTACTGTATTTATAAAGTTAGCTAAACAAACCAAGTACATAATTCGCTTRAAAGTCGTACACTTGTAAGGAAATCCGAGATCAATATCCGAACTTCTTGGTGACCCTAACACAATACAACACCATTTTGACTAAGAGATTTCTCTTTTGGGTGGATAAAGGCTTTCGAAATTTATCAACGACATACCTTTGTAGTTACTTGGCTTTGGCTGGCTTTGAGAATGGAAGTTAAAAAGCTTTTGGGTGAATGGGGAGAGGGAGACTAGTGCACATCGTCCTTAAGAATTTGGGTTAATTTTTGCCGTGTGGATTTTCCTTCTTTCAGCTGAATCAATGTCTTCGTGATAACCAAAAACTATGGAACGAAAAAGTGTCGCAGGTGGAAAAGAAACTAGAGGAAACAGAGACCAAATATAAGACGGTAAAACCACTAGTGCTGTGTAGGGATTAGACAGTTGTACCACAAGCGTATAGACATTTTGCTGCGCACTTTTACTATCACATGTTAAAATAATACAAGTACGTAGCGGTGAGACTGATTTTGGCTCCTGAAGTCGTTGAGAAATGTTAATAGGCAGATTAAGATTCCCGTTTTTTCTTCCCGCAAGCGGCAAACGTGACCATGTTTCCATCGTTTCCCTACATTTCACTTTACCCTTTGCAAACCTTCCCGTCAGACACATATTCTTATTTTTATCAACTACTTGGAGATCATTGCGATTCCTTTTCACTAATTTTAAAGATTTTTTAATGGTCAACTGACGTTTCACGTTTGGTCCACTTTGAACGACCAAACCCGAAATTTCGAACTTCTGAAGCTGTCTTGTTAAAGTAGCCTTGAAAATGGGTGTAAATGAAGTTGTGGAAGGTCCGCGGTGACCATTGGTGTTACCATCAATGTCTGTCACATCGTTAAACTTACTCTTTTGTAGGAGGTTAGTGATCTACAGGAGCAAGTAAATGATCTGATGAGACACTTCGAGACACAGCAAGCCATCGCGTGCGCACCCGATGATACTAGACAGGTAAGATACATCAGGTTTGGGACTGTTCATTTTGCCCGGGTGTATTTTCTTTTGTGGAGGGTGGGGGGGTTGGATTTAGTGAGCACGTAAAAACAAATGGCATTTAGGGGGGAAGCCAGCGCAAAAATTGAATATTGTGCTAATTGATAAAATACTTTCTTCTGYACTGAAAGAAAGTTGTTCGAAGTTCAAGGGTTTTGTTGTTGGTCCCACCAGGAACTCCAGGAAGGACAACTGTTGGTCGGGGAATCTCAAACGCAGCAACCTAAATCGAGACGAAAAAGAAGATAACAGGCCAGAACGAACAAACACCGCAAACATTAAACCCGTGTGGAAAAACTGATATTAAAACTAGATAGTGCTAAATAAATACTGCTAAATCGTTCGTTTTTGTAGTAGAGTGCATACGATATATCCGTAAAAACGTTAACTAACCACATTGTACAATATTGTCAAGTGTATGCTACAAATTATAAATTAGTGCAAAGTTTTGTAGGTCTACAAGTTTACTAACTTGTGCAATTTTTTAGAAAGTTTTTCACGAATACATAGTATGCACTCTATATTTTAGCATTATTTGCTTAAAACGATCGATCGTCGATACGAACATGAAGTAAAATATAAATTACATCTCATTATTAAATTACAGAGTTCCGCAGATCTAGATTGACACAGGTTGTTTATTTTTCGAAAGACTGTTTAATTTGTATATAATATTTAAAAATGAAATCAGAGAAGCATTAACAACACAAAAACAGCGACAAAGATAAATACAAAATGTTAATTAATGAATTTCAGAACTACACTCGTCTCTAAGTCTTGAGAACTACAGTTTTAGTATGCCTCTTAAAACTGTACGGTAAGCAAATTGACTATACTTTCAGCCAATCACTGCACACAACATCAGTGATCATACAATACGGTAGGCACGCCTTAACAGCGAGTCCTTTGCAATGATACGAGAAGCTAAATTGGACTGAAAGTTTATCGTGTGTTAGGTAGCACCACGCTATAGTTGCTTAGCAATAACACAAAACAATGTAATGTTCAATGGCAATAAAACTTACTACTTGGTAAAAAAGTTCACATTCCTCAGTATCGTATGTACAAAGTTTAAGGATACACACACAGAGCAATTAACTTCAACATTTTTCTGCTTGCAATTCAAGCCTTTACTATTTTACGTTAACAATATGTTTGACGACTAATTGGAAAGTGGCAAATGGGGTGAGGGTAAAGTTACGAGAAGAACGAACATTTTCTGTAAGTTTGTCCTTTAAACATTCCTAGTGGAGTAAACCATCTTCAGAATTGACGAGCCGATTATTGGAGGTGCTAGAATAAGCAGACTGGCTTTTGGAAGGTAAAGGTTAGAGGTCCTTTAATTAAACATGTCTTCTCTGTCTGCGGTGATCTGCTCTGACTCTTCCATCGCGCTGAAGTTCAGGAAATGAGAAGGGCGGTGTACCTCGTGGTAAAAGTCTTTAGGGTTCGAAAGTTGGAGCTCGTAACGCATGTTAGGAGAGTGACGAACACCTGCAAGAAATCATCGTTTATGAGCAAGGTTGTAATCAAGTTGAACAAATTGGTTTGAATACTTATTTCAAAAAAGATTATCGCACCCAAAGTAGATAGATAATTAAAAATAAGAGATCAGTTATTCCAGTCATTAGTTGGAATGACTGGCGTTTTTTATCAATTCTCTTCAAGGACACCAATGTTAGTGTTGTTCGTAGCTGCCATTTTCAACGCCTATGCACGCCCACAATTCCTTTCGGTCTTAAAACGATCTATCGCTTTCTGTGTGGCTCCAACAACCTTTTTTGAAATAGATGCACAAAATAGAATGCGGCGAAAAACTATCCTTCGAGTCAAGGGAGAAAACTCAAAAATGGGACGAGAGGTGAGGCCAAAGCCACCACYCAATAATTCAGCTAATGCCGATGCTTGTGGCAAGTCCTTTAAATATTAAGTGATTACTAGGAATGCTCACCCATGAAGTTATAGTTCCAAGAGCCTTGAGCAGGAACCATGAAGAACCCAAGGAAGCGATCAGACAGGAGCATCTGTACCTTCTCGTAATGAGATGGAAGGTATCCACGTGGGTTGTTACCAGTATCCTTGTTATTACGACCCCAGTCATAACCAGATGGAGTCAACTTGTAAGCTGTTAGTGAGCATGATCCTGGCGTGAAACTGTAYGGGAAACGATGGACGAGGTTAGAATAGGGCACTTCGATTCCCACCAAACCCACCCCATAATCGAAATCTCGCTTTACGCTCCTGAAGCCTGGGTATCTGAGGAAAACGTACTCTACAGAGAAGTACGTCTGCAGTCCACAGACAAGTTTTGTTACATACCTGCAAGTGATAATGACCGTCTTCTCACCATCCCAGGATGGATTGTCAGCCATGATCTTGGCATGCGTTGTAACATCCTGAGGGCCCAACTGAGGCAGTTCGTTAGGCTGTGTGTGAATCCATCCAAGGGGTTCCACTTCCTGGTTAGAAAAAATATTAATGTATCCTATCTAAACTGTACAAATGTCTACATCACTATTTTAGTAGTGGTTCTAGATAAAAGCTAAAGAAAAACTCTTTCTGTCACTGTTGCATCCAAGTATTTGATAATGACATGACATTTTAAGGAACTTACTTTAAGGTAGTCGTGCTGTGGTAACATATTCGGCAGGTGGACAGTCTGTTGAGAAAATATCAGTCCAAAGATCAGATATGACCACTCAACATTCAATAGACCCTTTTCGAGTTCCAAATTACCGCTGTGTTTCTTGATTACAGACTCATTTGCACAGGGTTAGCTTCGTATCCGTGTCTGAATATACACAAATACCATCAGTAAAGTAGGTTAAACACAAAGCATTCAGTCGATGATCCAAGGTTCTAATTTGAATATTCCTTTGAAAGTACCTTGGCGCCTCGCTTGAGCGCTTTGTGTTGGACCAGTGAACCGATGTACGGAAAATGGTGAATACAAACACTTTGAACACTTAACTGGAACACGTGAATATTTTGCACAAAGTCTAAGGAGGCACAGAGGCTAACTCGAAACTGGAGCATAATACTGACATACCTGATGTGTGCCCCACTGAGGGACCATCACAATGCATCGTATCTCCTTGACTTGTGGRTTATCTGGAGGACTTACGCCATACAGATAGCCAGATATCTAACAAACAAATGCAATAATGTCAGTATTAGGATATTCACTTCAGGAATACGATAATTCCAACGTGTACACCGAGAAGGTGGAATACTATAGACCCCTTGTAGTACCGTCGGAATTGAATGCAGCTCAATTTGGAGGACATAACAATAGGTTTCCAATTCTCATGAGATTGAAATTCTTTTGTTTTGTCCTCCAAATTGAGCTGCTTTGACGTCACATACAAGTGGTCTACTTGGTTTATCACGTCAAGGATAAGGAAAGAATAGATAACAATATATTTCGAACCCGACTCACCTGAGTCCTGAGATCAGATATAACAATGAACTTCTTCAACACATTCTTCGGCAGAATATATGTGAATCCAGTCTCCTTGATATCATCAGACGACACATAGATGTGGTTAGTACGAAGATGGAGGTTGGTAGCTGATATGGCCCTGACACGCCACTCGGTCTTGGACGAGAAGGTGTTAGTCTCGTAGTTACTGGTGGTCGACACGATGATCTCGTCACCGTGGATGTTCGTCGTGCGTGTTGTAGTTGCTGTCAGTTGGGATTGTTCTTTCGTCTGTTTTTCGATCTCGGCGATTTGTTGTCGTTGTTGTGAAGGAGCAGAGATCTCCATACCAAGAATGATGTCACGAATCTCGGACTGCGTCAATGAAGCCACGTTCACACTGGGGAGAGAAAAGAATAAAAAGAGCTTTGTTGGCGACGTTTTATTACAATACTGTTTTAATTCCCAAAGTAAATATGATTTTTATCCTTCAATACTTTTATCCTTGTTTAAAGTGGCGGTAAACAATCAAAGGACACAACTCAAGGTGATGTCCCCACAATTTCAACATACTTGTTCTTCTTGCCATAATCAGCCAAGATAAGATCCTTCAGCTGCACTTCAACGCTCACCCATTCTTCATCTGACAATGAAGGCCAGATATGATGTGGTTCAGTAATGATGGTCTTGTCTGGTTTAAGGATGACCTTGGTGCGATCAGCATTGACGTGCAAAGCTCTAAGGATCAGGATCAGACGAGAGAATGCGGTGTAGGACGAGATAGTCTTGAGCCAATCATCGTACAGGTTGAATAGTACCATCTGAGGTTCGGTGGCTTTGAGGATCATATCTCCCAGCTTCTCCACCTGATTTACGATACATTACAAATAAGATTGAATAATTGAGCACAATGTCAAAAGCAATGGTGCAGTTGGAAGTGTTGCGCGAAATGCGGCCAGCAATCGCCATGTTTTTCGATAACTTGCAACAACTTGATGCATGTTGAGTCTTGCGTCAAGAAATTAACAAGAAACGGACTCACAGGAGCGCAGAATCTTCGCTATATTATCGACAAAGACTGCGTCATATTAAAAAAAACTCTTGCAGCTGTAGCAAAATAATTTCATCTCGAAGTGTCAATGCAACAATGGTGACAGCGTACCTTGAGGCAGGCCTGGAAAGGTAGTTGTAACTCACTACCTTTGATGACGATGTTAGGGAAATCAAGAAGATGAACCTGGAAAGATAATGACAATGTTGCTTAAACAAAAGCCTAACTAGTAGGTAGAAAGCTAGAAAATATGATCTTCGCACTTGTATTTTATCTACGCCAGCGTTACCTATTTTTGAAACGTAACCAAGAACCTTAAAGGCGCGTACACGGTGCAACATTGCGCGCATCATTGCAGGCAAGGTTTCTGAAGTAGGATACTTTTCTACTTCAGCAACGTTGCGTGCGACAAATTGCGTCATGTGTCATGGCTCGCAACATCAAATGCACCGTTTGTCCGTAGCTTTACTTTATTTCAACGTAGCATTGCGTATCCTTACCTCGAGAGGGTCCAACATTCCTTTCCTTGTGACAATAATCTGCTTGGGTTGTTCTTCTACGGGAAGGGAACGAATCAACGCAGCTACTTCTTCGGCTGTCTTCCATTTCGCGAGCTAACAAGCAGTAAATAAAATTATTACCCAACCTTATGGAATTAGAAAGCACGTCTACCCCTAATATAGACTTGCCTCAAGTCGACCTCTCCTGCCTCCCGCGAAGTTTTTTATTTTTGGCAAAGCGAGAATTTGGCTAGCGTAGCAAGCCAGCAACGAAGTCGCGAGAGGTACCCGAGTCAAGATACACGAAGAGCAGAGAGCTTTGCGAATGTCTAACTCTAATATCGAATAGTAATCAGGTGTAAATGGTTTCGTGGAGGGAGGTAGAACGGAGAGAACCCGGGGGAAAACGCTAGCACTGAAAGGGTAAGTATTTACCTGTCCCAAACGTTTCTGGCCAGCCCAGACAGAGGTGTGGATGATCTTCAAGAAAAGCTGTCCTGTACGAGGATTGAAGATGAAGATGGCGCCATTGATGGGTTTGGTAGTGAGATTACCCTCAAAGGTCTAAAAACCAACAAAAATGTTACAAAATTTAGGAGTTAACAAACAGAAATATCACAGATCTTTGCTCATAGTTCGCATGGTGCATTGTGGTCTAGCTTGGGTACAAGTATCACAAGATTAGTCTTGTGTGGTTTATACCTAAGCTAGATCAGATTGTACCATGTTAATCGTACTTAGAAAAGACTTAAAGGGACAAAGTGTTTCATAATGAGTGCATCTGATCGCCTTACCTTATGAATCGTGACACGATAGACATTAGTATCATCGACAAACCAGATAATCTGGTTAGAGAAMAGTTCTCCATAGTTCTGTGACGACAGGTACGGTTCAGTAGGCTCACTGGAGTACAACTGGAGTGCTTTACGGATACGTTCTCTCAGGACATACARGGCAGGGTTAGCCTTCATGATCTTAGCCATCGCTTGTTGTATCAAGGGCTTGATGCCAGGGAACCAGTTACCAAAGGCACTGAAATAAATAATAGTGAAAGTCGGAGGTTAGTTTATTTTAGTGCTTGGGATCCCTGTGGCGAGCCCACAGACGAGATTTCTGGCTTTTCAAGTCATTCCCCAATTACTATTTCCCTTCTAACCACGTGTTTGCAAGTGAAGTGCTTCGCATACCTGTGAAGATTGTAAGCCAGATCAAGGGCAATCAGTACCCCAGTAGGGGAGGGGTAGATACTCATATTATCTGTGGTGTAGTCCAGGAACTTAGCACGTGCATATCGTTCGATATCGTGGGAATCGTAGTCACCCCATCGTAACTGTACGTCCACCCAGTACTTCTGGCTGACAGATCCATCCATCATRTCACTATTACACAAAAACRAAATGTCAACACTCTGTATCTAACATAATTTATCTAAAAGGCCCCTGTCTACGGTAATCCGGAAAACGGATACTTTTCGATGYTTTTTGGYCTYGMGTCTACAYGAAAAMGCATACATTYGAAAACACTATCCAGAGTTGAAACATTTGAAAACTGAGGCATGTCGTATTCGTGTGGATAAGCGATAATCAGCGCCTTTTATAAACGCTAAAGTTATTTACACGGGTGTGTCTGTTTTTCCCATGCGCAGTTCATGGTGTGTTAATTCCAAATGTATCTGCGTTTTCGAACTCGAATATGAACACGAAACTTTTGCTGCATTTTTGATGGGGAAAAAACCCAGAGAAAACGCATAAATATTGACAAAGCATAAAAGAGAAGCAGTGAACTCACTTGGAGTCRGCGAGAAGGGAAGGTTTGAAGATGTTCCACTTATAAGCAGCGAACAGMAGAATATCGGCACACGAGCTGTTCATCTTGTACGATTTACGTGGATGAATAGTCTCTTTCTGTACCGTCTCGATCTCTAGAGCATCCAGCTCTTGGTCAAATACCTGAGAACCACAACAAACAAGGCTATTAATCCTAAGGATATTAAAGAGTCTGAATAAGGTGATTGTTCTATCTTGTGCACGCATCGCTGGCTGGCGCATAAGAACGTCATTTCTAGGTTTTTCAGCTCTAATAAGGACATAAACCTTTAAGACAACGTTGCGTGCACACAACAGAAAAACATTCTCATTCGCGCCATGCATTTTTTCTATATTGATCTCCGTTTTCTTGTACTTTAGCTCAATGAATAACTGGGGAATCATTAGGTACTTAATATACGCGTTATCCTGCATTAGTGGGGATAAAAGTATTCACCATTTTCCATACATGGGTTTACTGGTCAAACACAAAGCGCCTAAGTGAGGCGCCAAGGTACCTTCAAAGGAATATTCAAATTTGGATCTTGCAACCTCGACTTATTTGACCAGTGAGCCAATGTATGGTAAATGGTGAATAGTGATGGTAAACAAAGAATATTATTCACACACTTACACACACTTCCAATGTATGGTAAATGGTGAATAGTGATGGTAAACAAAGAATATTATTGTTACCTGACAGAGATCCATCACGACGCTCTCGTGAACCTTCTGCCAAAGATGAGCCCTGAAGATCTGGATGAGTGAGATCTTGAGTGTAGGGATTTTACCGTGCATAAAGATACCCGTCAGATCAAGCTGCACTTGAAATCCAACATACACCTGTAATATTAAGAACGACAAAATGTTCATGACAAAATATTGGGTCAATTCACTTGAAATTAAAAAAGTTATCGTATGACTGTAAAAAAGTGACCGTGATGATTCTTAGAATTTAAATTAGGCGATTTTTCCTCCTGCAATGTGATTGGTCTGGCAGTGCTGTGACATTGGCGCGACCGTGTTTGTGCCGTGTTCATGCCATGCATTTGATTGTATGGAGAGCAAACTCTCGTGTAATGTGATTGGTCTGTCGTATGCTTGGCACGATCATTGTTCTTGCCATTAGCTTTTCAGTCAGTTATACGAAAACTGCTCTATGATACGAAGTATTAGGTTTAGCATATGCCAAAAGAGTCGTGACCGCGCACTTTGAAACCATGATCTATTAGAGCAGATGTTGTGCGACTGTGAAAGGATGACCGTTACCGTGACGGTGTAGCACGTTTGAGTGTTTCAAATGGATCTGTAGTAAACTCGCGTACTGCGAGCGAATGAATGAATGTCGTCAAGTCTGTAGCGTGACTATTTCTGTAGCGTGACAGAGTTTTTCTCTACTTACGTTAGCCCTGTTGATAGTAGGTGACCACCAGAGA